CGTTTTCTTCGATGATTTTTCTCTCGGCAGGTGACACGCGGTAGGGCCGGCGGCGTACAACAGATGTTCCGACTGTGTGGATTCGATGCGTTGTAGTAGTGATGTGGCCCAACGTCGAGGAGTAACCATCGAAGGAAGTTGCGTGTTTCTTTAACAAAGCAAGTAGCTGTTGCATCTGTGAAGGTGTCAAGTCGTCGCTAATGGCTGCAGTAAAAGCGGAAGAAGATGCAGGCTCACCCCTAGGGATGTCGCTGGAGGAGACGGCATGAAGTGGCACGACACACGCAGGCTCGAGATCCGTAACGCAGGCCACCGTGGTGTTCTGGGGGAGTATAATTTTTTCGGATGTTGTATTCACAGCGGTGATAAGTGCGGAACCATTGAGAAACCGAACTACACTGGAAGCAAGAATGATGCCTTTACCGACGCATCTAAATGATGGTGAGACCAAGACGTCGCCATGGTCGATGTCCTTGGAGGTAATAGTTACAATTCGCTCTTGACCTGGTGGTAATTCGGTATCTTCCGCAGCTGTCAAACGAAGTGGCCTATGGTGGTCGTCGCTGAGCGTGCAGTCCTTGTCGGTGAGGTGGACGACGCGTTGGCCACAGCAAATAGCCACGGAGGCAAAAGAAAAAAAATCCCATCCTAAAATTAGTCGGTGAGACCAGCGGGACAGGACAGCAAACTGGATATGATGGTGGATTCCGTCGATTGAAACGCGCACAGTACAAAACTCGGAAGGGCGAAAGACGTTCCCCTGGGCAGCGACTAACGTGGGACTATCGTAAGGCGTCGTTACTTTCTTTAAATGTTCACAGAAATCAGCACGTATAACAGACAATGCCGCATCTATGTCCACCAAAGCATCGACTCGCACTCCTACTTCCACAGAGACTATGTTACACGGGCCTGATTGAGGAAATTCAGTTCTAATTGCGAATGCAGTTTTTCCTCCACAAACTGCATCATTTAGTTTTCCGAATGAATATCAGAGGAGAATGAGGCGGGCTGAAGTGAAGAAGTGGAACGGCGGAAGGGCGAAGGTGAGCAGCGTCTAGTGTTTCGGCTGTTCCGTGGTGCAGTCGATGCTGGAGGAGATGGAGACCGGTGCGGGGGAGACGAATAACGTCGACCTTGATAAAAGGCCCCACTGTACAAATCCCATTCACGCATGTCGTTCCGACGCTCATCTTGCTGGCGCTTTCGGCAGAAACGAGATATGTGGCCGCGATAGCCACAGTAGTAGCAGACAGGGCGGGACGAGTGCCAGGGTGGGGAGTAGAAGTCGTTCGGGGCCCCTGAAGATAGTGCGGTCAGGTGGGCCGAAGAAGGGTCAGGAGGCATCGGACAGTAGTTCACCAGGGGAGCGGCAGCGACCGACGCGTACAATGCTAGCGGCAACGTCTTGTTTACCTCGCTGGGAGGCATAGCAGCGACCTGCGCATAGGTTCGTATGGGCCGAGACGAGGGTGACTGGACGTGAGCCGGAGAGCTCAGAGATGTCAGTTCCTCCCTGATAATTTTGCATAATGTCGCTCCCGCAGACTGTGGAGAACACGGTGGAGAAGGTGGGAAACCCATGTTCTGTAACTCTTCACGTATTAGGTCTCTTATGAGGTCCCGGAGAGGTCTGTTAGATTGTTCGCCTATGTCTGGTTGTAGACGAACAGAGTCCAGAGTTTTGAGGCGCTGACATGTCGTGACGACGTCGGCTATGGTAGCTGGGTTCTGAGCAACCAGGGCGTTGAAGGCAACAGGGCCTATACCCTTCATAATGTGGCGTACTTTGTCGGACTCTGGCATAGATTAATTGGCCCGCCGGCAGAGCGCAAGAACGTCCTCGATGTACGACGTGTACGACTCACCGGAATGTTGTTGGCGAGTGTCGAGGGTTCTCTTCGCGACTGCGGACCAAATGGCCGGTGTGCCAAAAACGTGACATAGCTGCTGCTCGAAGGTAGCCCAGTCGGGTATGTCGATTATGTGGTTAAAGTACCACGTCTTCGCCACATTGGTCAAGTAGAAAAATACGTAACGGAGCTTGGTGCTATCGTCCCAGCGATTAGCAACATTCACGCGGCTGTACTCATCGAGCCAGTCTTCCACGTCTTCCCCGCGACGTCCGGCGAAAAGAGGGGGATCACGGTGGTGGCTGTGTAAGTACACAGGAGGTGCGGCTGAAGACGGCGGGGGAGAAATGGCTGCAGTAATGGTAGCAGCGCCGGCAGGCTCGTTCTGTGACATGCTGCCAGACAGTTGGGGCAATCGGCGGCCTGAACGCAGCTCCAGGGAGTCGAGCAAAGTGGAGGACCGAGGACCGAAAATCCACCTCCACCACGTATGATGTCTGGGTTGAGACAGCGTTTATTCAGCCCAAGGGCTCAGCAACGAACGGGCAGTCAAAGACCGAGCGTGCACACACCCGATGATGATTGTGGTGACCCCCAGTGAAGATGAGGACAGGGACCCAGATGGATGATGATGATTATGATAATGCATATATGAGAAGCGCATAATGAATGCCCACGATATTATTATAAGTATTATAAGTATTATGAAAGTATGCGATTTGTATGGGCTGAGCATTTTAAAACTTCTCTAAAATTACAAGTTCTTTTTGCCCATTTAAATGTTTTGTACACCCTTTCGAGATGATTATTTGCTTTCTACAGTTATTGTAGAGCAACATGAGCCATTATAGGCTCATAAGTATAAAAGTTCAGTGACATATAAAGTCTGTCTAAAAATAGCTATATCTTACACACAGTCATAGTACAAAATTAAAACTATGCAATTTAATACAAAACTGATTACATATTTCAAATCAGCATAAAAGCTTAAGTAAACAGCAAAAATTACAATGCCCTAGGCTACCGATTAAAAGAACTTTTTTTTTTGAGCAGCATCTCTCCTTGACTCTTTTATTACCACGCCTATTCGAATCGATCACTGGTGATTGACGCTTTTGGATCATCGATTTTGGCTTGTTAAATTTGTTTCTTGTGCACCCAGCACTTTCTAGTAATTAGTCCAGCCACTGAACTTTCAGAATAAATTTGAATTTGCCCATTTTGGCAACATTGTGACTTTTGACAGACCTTTGCGCGAATCGATGCGCATGTGTTGTTGAAAAGATCACTAGGCTGGCGAACTTGACAAAAGTGCGTGCCCCTCGTGATTATGCTATAGGAACATCTAAGCTCTGTAATGAAAAGAACCTTTGCAAGCCAAAGATCGAAATAAAGTGTCAGCTTCGCAATTTTATTGTCTTGAGCAGCAACAATTGCCAGAAATTCATGCCAGCTATTCAACAGAGAGCTGTTCCAAGGAGTCAGGGAAATTTTATCTGCAAGAAGCAATTACAAAGGTCTGCTGCATGTTTTAAGTGTCAAGGTGGCCTTCTCTGACAATTTCCAGCAGTTTTGTTTTTTCTTGCATTGTTATATCAGACACAGGGTCGCATAAACTGTCAATAGTCACTTTTATGTGTCGTGGTCATGAGCGCATGGGTACACACCAGCGCTGCGAAACACATGCACTGCTCGAAATCGTCTTTCAATCCCACCTGAATGGAGTGATGACAAGGATGACAGCAACTTAGCTTCAAGTTTTATGGCCACGATGTTTTGCGTCAGCCTGAGACATCCGCAGCCGTTCATGGGTTTGTTTTGTTTACATCCTCAAATTGCCTCCGCCGCGACAAGTGCACACAGCTTCTGACCTTTGTGGACAATCTTATAGCTACTCTGGTTACGTGCATGGTCCGCACTTCACAGGAGCGTGGTGAGCTGGCGCTGGCTGCAGAGGTTCTCCTAATGATAAGAAGGCTCCCGAAGCCCATCTTTGCCCTGACTACGAAGCAGTGCGAAAACTTTTAGAACTGAGCACAATATTGTCCTTTTTTATTACGATATGCACAAAAATGCAAAGAAATGTGCTTGGATGCACATATTGGAACGCCTACCTATGTAGAGTAAGATGGCTCATGGAAAGAGGTGACGCTAGATAAAATGGCAAGATTTATTGGACGTCTCATATGCAGAGAGATTATTCACATGAGGGGTATCCATCTATATAGAAACGCCTGGAGACTCTCGTAGCAAGACAACAAACATTTACTGAGAAAAGTGTACGAGTACAATGGTGTCTCACGAAAAACCATGCAATGTTTCACCACATAGCACAAGCAACGAAGCAGCGCACAGGTTCAGATTTTCTTTGTCTATGTGAAGAGAAATGTTCTGTACAACATTCATCATTTTTTATACTGTTCCATGGTTATTTATATTATATTTTTGCACATAAAGTGCTTTTATTGAACTGTTTACCAGCCAGCAACTAATTTCACACCTTTCACATTTTTATTATTCATTTTAAAATATTTTTGCTGCTCTACAACATATATTGTTTAAAAAGAGCATTTCATTGTGCAATGTTTTGTATGCTGCAGTGCGTGCTGGAGTACTTTTCAAACTGGAAAAAACAATCTTCCTGAGACATACGAAAAACAACCATTTTAGCGCGGTAACGAAAGAGCTAACCGCATACCGTAGTACAAAGCAAAGCCAGCTGCAACAAAATATAGACTGCCTAAATAGCGTAGTTTGAGAAAGTGTTTGTTAACTCCAGTTCAACAACCTGCTACGACTAGTGTTCATAAAAAGAGGTTAGACACTCCTGTTATTTTGGATGCTCCTTTAAACAATATTTACAACATGTGTATGTACGTGTTCAGTGCTTTTTGCTGAAAGCAAGCCTTACAAGAGTATGCAAACTTCAACAGGATTTCCTTAATGCTTCTCCTAAATAACTCCAGAGTGCATCAAAGTAATCTATACGCCATATTTACATGGCAGTCTTAAAAACAATTTTCAGGGCAGAAAAAAATGGGCCATAGTTTTCCTTGTTACTTTGCCTGTCCAAAATCTTCACTGAGGAAACCGAGTGCTTTTCACCCTGAAATTCACACTGTCAGTAAAATATTCTAAGACACTAACCTGCTTTCTGCTTGGCTGTCTGCTGGCTCTGAGAAAGCGCTGACTGAAGTTCTGTCTTTTCAGCCACCAGTATGCCAATGGTCTGTATATGCACCTGAAGCTGATCCTTCAGGGCACCCTGCTCCCGCCGACTCTGCTCATCGATTTCCTCCCGTTCACGGTCGAAGTCACGCTGCTGCCGTGCCAGTTTTGCTTTCTGCATTGCCCAAGGAAGTTAACCTTGAAATGCTAGTCAGTGCTAACACTTTTTCCACTACATACAATTCTCTTGTACTGAACTAGAAAGTAGAGAAAATTTTATTGCGAAGCTCCTTTCCACAGCTCTCCTACCATGGCCATTTGAATAGGTTACTGTAAAACTTACAAATTCTTAGTCCAAGTTCTGCCTTTGCTGAACTTTAATGTGACAATCGCTCCCTCTTCTTCTGGTCACAAAAAAGGATAGAGCAAAAACGTCAGGCAGTTTTATCGCGATAGCATTAAAGAACTCGTTTCACAGAAATTCCCGCGTCAGCGTCATTGATTGTGAGCTAAAAATCATCATCTTGTGCATGACTGAAAAATTGAGAAAAATGCAAAAATAAAATAAATAACGAAAAATCACAGTGTATCCACAGAGTTAATGATGATGAGTAGGGCAAAGCGTTCGTCCTACTGTCTGTCCATCCGCTTGCCTGTCTGTGGGTATGCTGTGCTGGCTACGCCGGAGGGATAGACTGCCCTAGACCATAAGGAGCTTCGCCCCTACAGAGGCCAAGTGGGGATCAAACCCGGGATGTTTGCATGGCAAGAGATTGTTCTACCACCCAACCACGTTAATTAATAATTAATATGTGGGGTTTAACGTCCCAAAACCACCATATGATTATGAAAGACGCCGCAATGAAGGGCTCGGGAAATTTCGACCACCTGGGATTCTTAACTGCACCCAAACCTGAGCACACGGGCCTACAACATTTCCGCCTCCATCGAAAATGCAGCCGCTGCCGCCGGGATACGATCCCGCGACCTGCGGGTCAGCAGCCGAGTACCTTAGCCACTAGACCACCGCGGCGGGGCCACCCAGCCACGTGTCTGCTTGGATATGCAGTGAAAATCAATTCCTCTGGTAGGAAATGCAGTGAAAGTAACTTACATGCTTTACAAACACACGTGTCCCGTATACACACTTCACTATACAACATGAAATGTTGCAGTAGAACATTGCCATCAGGTGTCAGAACATGTGATAATCAAAATGAATTCATGTTTTAAAGCTGGTCACCCACTACACAAGGCACACATGTTACTGCACTTATACCTTTAAGGCCACTTAGTGGGTGCAAGCAAGTTTGAAAAAATTTAATGCACTAAGTGTTTGAAGTACGCACTAGGACTGGATATCGCTAGCGCGTTCAACTCCTAAAGCTGAAGCTTAAGAGTCCCCAAATTATAGGGGCAAAGCTCCTTAGGATCGAGCCATGTTCCCTGTCAATCGGCATGACACGCTATAGATATCCATGTCTATGTGGATATCTATATCCATATGAATATCTATATCCATATCCATATTAACACCATACATGCATTGTGATTAATAAACAACTTCGTATATACGGCACACACATGTTGCACCGTCTTTACACGATCGAGTGGGCCATGTACAGGGGTTAATGATCCCCCCGGAGCTTCGCCACTCGTCATCATTCACATCATGAGTATGTTGTGCTTTTTTAATTTACTCAAGGTTCACACATTTTGTTGAATGTATATGTACATTGTAAACAACTAGTATTTACCTTCGAACACAATACACAAGCAGCAAACTTGACACAGCAAAAACTCACCAGCCACATACAGTTTTTAGAGTACAGTAAGCATTCCAGTAATCTTGCTGTTGCTCATCTGAATGTTTCATAACAGGCATCCTTGAAGCAGACAACCTTACAGCATTCTTTTACAGCCAGAAAACTTCACAGAATGTGGTCAGAGACTGACGAGCAAAACATTTTATCAAAGAAATTTATTTCTGAAGCTTGATGAAATGTTAAGAACATTTGTAAAATGACAGTGAACTTAAGAACATATAAAAAATTTTGGTAGACCTAGCAAGTACTGGTTTTCTAAAAGCAGAAACTGACGTCGTAGGTTTCACTTGTTGCAAAAATTGTTAACATGCTAGATCTGGGTACATATTATTACTTTCTTGCAGTCAACCCTTAAAAATATGATGCATATTAGAATAGGCTAAATTTTTTCTATAGGCTCATGGCAAATATAATCGCTCAATAAACTTAATTATTATTGAGAACTAACAAACAATAATGCCAAGGAAAGTATAGGAGATGTTATTAGAATTAATTGCAATATAAATGGGAAGAGAGATAAGTGGACGAAGCGATAACATGCCACTGAAAGGAACAGAACCTGTGACCATCGAATAATGCAACCAATGCTCTACCACTGAACTATGGAGGCGGTTATCCCCCTGTCCACTTTATAGGGTATACATGTGCATTTAAACGTGGGAGCATCAGTGAATGCAACCAGTACTCATTAGTCATGACTACTGGAGGCGCTGATTGATGCTCTGACATTTAAATGCACATATATACCCTATAAAGTGGATGTGGGGATGACTGCAGCCATAGCTCAGTGGTAGAGCATCAGATGCATTATTCAAAGACTACAGGTTCAGTCCCTGCTGGCAGCAAGTTGTCTTTTTATCCACATTTCATTCTCCACATTTACATTACGATAACTTCTAACAGCATTCCCTATAATTCCCTTGGCATCATTATCTGTTAGTTCTCATTACTATTGTGCCTAACAAAAAAAATGTGGCCTTAAATTCCCACTTCTTTTCTTCAATAAATTTCAGTCGTCTTCTGAAGTATTGGTGCAATATTGTTGACAAAAAATTGTTCACACTACCTTAAAATTCAAGACATAAAAATTTTGAACCACCAAACAGGACAGTTTTGCATTAGTTGAGCTGAATTATGATCAAAACATAGCTGAAAGATGTGCTGCACTTGCTGCACAGTCATAATCATATGGGCAAGCTGACTTCAGTGCATGTAACCAGCTACAGGATATTGCCAGGGATTTTTCATAATAATGAAATGTCAGCTGTATCAGACAGGTATCCGGCAATGAAGAATTTTATGGTTTAGACACATTAGGTAGAAACACATCAAGTACAAAGTTTTGAGATTTCTGAACAGTGCTGCTTAGCTGAGATATTTAAGAGGCATGTGATGCTCATGAATGAGCATTTGGGCCCAACAGTTGTGTGAGGATGATTGCACTCATCCATTCCAAGACATTCTAAGGATTTCATAAGAATAATGCATAAAAAAGAGAAGCGTTAGATCGAGAATTTTATGGGTTGAAGTGATGAGAAACCATCATACAAGGAATATTGCTGAAGCCAACATTCCGGGACAAGGAGTGTGAGGGCAGGAACTGCCTTCCTGAGCGACGTGCTCATGATTGCCTCGCTTACTCTATTCCTCTACCTTAATGGTAGAAGGGAAGAATAGTAAGCTTGTGTGAAAAAAAAAAACTAAATGTAGAAATATGAGGTGGAAAGCTGAGAGTTGCAAAGATAATTACATAATAGGAGAGAAACAGAAAACAAATAATGGTGTTGCATTCATACAAAATGTGGGCAAAAACTATGAATGACAAGAACGGAAGTTTGAAAATCAACTAGGAAGCAACAGGTTTGCTTCTCAAGCTATTCAATGATATATAAATAACAAATTTTCAGATTGAGCAAATTCTACAAATTATCTGGAACCCTGAATTAAGTTTGAATTACCGAAGATTTACCTACAAGAAGACTAAGGCTGAACAGCAGAGTAAAGGTTTGTTGCTTACAAATAGTACAAATCGAGACATCATTTAAAATTATTCCCACCCCCACCATTCGCATTAAACTGCATGCTACTTTTCAGCTCTGTGAGAGCATTATTAGGACTACTACTACTACTACTACTACTACTACTACTACTACTACTACTACTACTACTACTACTACCACAGTAGAACCTTGGTTATATGATCACGGCTAGTGCGAATTTCAGAGTGATACGAATTTCTTTGTAGTCCAGTTCAAGGTCCATTAGCATTGTAATGTAATGAAGTACGGTTGTTGCGAACAACTTTTCCCCCCCCGCAACGTTTGATATGAACATACAGTACCACACAGGTTCGAACAGCTACTGCCGGCTCCGCCTCGGAAGACACAGCAAATTGTGCACGCCAATCTTGGAGGCCCTAATGCGCCTTCGCACGCTTTCGTGTTTATGATTACAGATGGTGTTGATGCCCCTTTTTTCCCCTCTCCGACCTATGCTGCTGTTATCGGGGCAGCGATGTTCCACTGTGTTTACACGTGCCCGCCACATGGATGCAAGTCGTGTCCTCACAATCAAACATCCTACAAAAGGTAGACAAGGACAGAAAGAGAAAAGTCATCATAAAAGAGCAAGGCCTCGCATTGCAAGATGCATGATTGTTGGACACGCGCACATCGGCCAACTCTCCGATTTGCATGGGAGAGACTCGAATGTTGAGCAAACCACTGAGTAAACCTTCGGCGAGTAAACCTCCCACGATAAGAAAAAAATAACAACAAAGGTCAGTGGTTCTAAAACTCCCTGGCCTTCATACCTCGTATTCAAAGTGCAGCTTAGGTAACTTTTGTTGCAGTACTCTGGTGTAATGCTGAAGAGCATACTAAGACCAGAAAGGGGCTACAAGCGGTCACGGGTCGTAACCCTTCTGGTTCCACGCACGTGCCGTATATTTACGACTACAAGTATGATCGTTAATATCTCGAAATTTCACTAGCAGTTCATCACTGTTCATGATGTTGCTGCGTGAGACACTGAGAAGCAATCAATGAAAGTATATGCCAGCTTTTATTTGTTGCATACTGATTTTTTATGTTTTCTCATGATACGAATTCTGGACAATACACAGATATTTTGTTACCCTGCGAGATGCGCATCACCGAGGTTTCACTGTACTACAGCATATAGTTGTGTGCACGCCAATACACGAGGTTTCACTGTACTACAGCATATAGTTGTATGCACGCCAATACAAAGTTTCAAAAATTTGTTAAAAAAAAAAAAGAAAAAACTCGACTCACTAACTCCTGTAGCTGAAATTCAAGCTGATCCCTATCCTGCTGCAAAGCTTCAAGGGTTGTAGCTAATTCTTGGTTCCTTCGCAGAAGTTCATCCCCCCGCAGTGCTACAGAGGAAGGTGAGTCTGCAAGTGTTGCCATCTCGCCATTCAATGCAGCATTGGTATCTTCCATTAGGCCATTCAACTGCAGAGTGATCTGACGAAGGCTTTCGGTAGATGACAGTACCCTGTGAAAAGTAGACACAGCTTAGACAAAGAGCAAACAATAAAGTAGCAAGGCATGTGCAGAAGACCTCACAGGATGAAATATTTACACTCGTACCTCGATATAACAAAACCGGATCTAATGAAATATCGTGTGTAATGAAGTAAATAAAAAATAGTCTTGCAATAAATATAGTATTAGGACTAAACCTTTACAACAAATTTTTGGATATAACAAACTTATTTCCATGCAAGATGCAACTTTGTTATAATGATGTTTGAGTGTAGTAAATTACCCTGATCCTAAGAGCCAGTGAATTAAAGACCTTTTTAATTATAAAGTTTTGTTTTCGCTTGTTTATGATGCCACCCTAATCTTTTTTATGTAACAAAACTCACGTATCCAAATCCTTTTTATTAAACTTATATTTTCTGCATTGTCATGGTAACAGACCTCGGACCTACAAAAAGACATATATTCCTAGACTTCACTTACATTTGTCAGCTCATTGCTACTGGGTCCATACAGAATATTTGACCAATGATTGAAGCTCTCCCTACAGTCACTAGCCCAGTCTCATTATTGCGATGGCATTTATATGGACACTCTCGGCTGGATTTTGCCACCGGCGTCATCGTCGCCGTCACTCATTGTATATGTATATATATATATATAAATGCAGAAAGAAAAAAATCGAGAAAAAGACCCCGGGGTGTGGCATCGAACTTGGGTCCTCTGAATCGTGAGTTCGGGGCGTTAACCACTGAGCCACCGAGGAGCACGTCCTCCAACATTCAAATGGCAAGCTGTCTATATCTACCACTTACCACAGCTGATGGGCATCTTCGGGGGGGGGGGGGGGGGGGGGGGGGGGGGGGCAGGGGGACTATCGCGTTTTTAGCATTACCAGCAAGATGGCGCAATGAGCGCGCATGGCAACATCGTCACAACGTGGCGGCCACGCTCTCATCTCTCACGCACACTTTGCCCTGCAAATAGGGGTCGACGCTCCTCGCGTGCCCTTATCTCATCACAGTAGGGAAGATCGTACGTCTTGACTGGCATTCAACTTTTAAAGAAATGATTTTGTTTTAGTTACCAGGCACACAAAGTTCACTACAAACATTGCACAGTCTACGTTTTCGAAAAGAGCCCTCTTCTCAGACACAGTGAAGTAACAACTGAGACACTTATTCGCTTTAATCTGTGCCTGAGAGTACGTTTTGTACGTTATTTGTGCAAGAGAAACGTGGGGCACCTTTTGATCTGCTGGCCATTCTGCGCGTGACCTTCCAATTTGTTGTTATCGCGTTCATTGCTTCGCCTTTGAGGCAAAGTTGTGAGTTGTGAGTTCTTTCGTTGACTGTCCGTCCGAAGCTGTTAACTTGGCCAATAGAGTAGTTTGATTCTCTCCTCTAGTACCATCACAAAATTTGTCTGCAGATTTTCTCAGACCGCTGAACACTTTCTGGAGTTGCAACTTGTCTTCTAGCACTTCAACTTTTGAAACAAGTGCCCTCCTCTTGCTATTTCTTTTGGCTTTTAATTTCTCTAAATACTCCCTATATTGGAGCTTTGCCTGCCGCACTAAAAGCTATACAATATAAGCATATTGTATCTAACTCTAAGAGAACCATAATATTTTTCTTGCCTTCTAGCATTTCAAGCTTTGAAACAAGCACCCTCCTCTTTTATTTCTTATGGCTTTTCACTTCTCCAAATACTTGCTATATTGGAGCTTAGCCAGCCACACCAAAAGATATAATACAGTAAAAGCTTACTGTATGGAACTCTAAGAGGACCATAATATTGTTCTATTCATTCTATTTAGGTAGAGTTCGCATTAGTGGGCGGGTGCTAGAATGAACGGACATTGCGTCAAACTGTGCAGGCAGAGCCCAAAAAGGCCAACTCCTGGCTCGTTATCACGAAACAGGCATTACTACATGTTTGTGACAGGTGATTCTGTAAATTAAGTCCATGAAGCTCGAACAGCAAAAAGAATTAAGTGATCAGACAGTGATACACCAGAAACAAGCACCAATGTCGCACTGATGTTAGCAGTGAGCCAATATGTCGAAATATACTTAACGGTACTTATTCTCCAAACCACAATCATTGAACATGGCAGACTAAACACAATCAAAATTGAAAGTAAACCGTGATTTGCATTTGCTTGTGTTTCTAACGTCATGACTCCATGAGCATCGTTTGCATTTTTCAGCACCAGCTGAGAAATGCTGCTGCTTCATTAATTTGCATCTACAGTAAATCTGGTTTAGTTTGGTCATGCCGCACACTGTGATCACTCTGGGTGAACTACTTCTGCGAGGAGTGATGAAAACCAGGGGCTCAAATTAACCGTTGTACGGTCCGACGCATTTGAATTATCAGGAGTTTTCCCCCATAGAAATACGCCAGGGCTATGCCGGGACAGGGGCATCAATTTGAACTAACTGTAAGTTCAAATAAAGTTTCAGTTTACTTAGCAGCTTTTACTGTATCTCCTTTGTCATTTGGCCACTAAGCAGCCCATCACTATTCTTTGAAACCTCACAAATAAAAGGATTATAATAGGTGGTACCATTTGAAAATAAAGACAGCCATGCTGCCTCCATGGCTAGAATTCAAAAGGAAGGCAGATGAAGAAAGATATATAAACTGTATGACAAACATAAGTCCTCACTCCTACAGTTTTTACTTGTAGATAGACCGAGTGCACAGGTACAGGGTACGATTCTGGAAACAGTCGAATTTGCCATCGTGTCAGCTCTGGTTGTTTCAGAGAGCTGCTACAACCAGTCTAACTGGCTTAAAATGAAAGCGCTACAGGTTGTTGCACTTTCTGACCTCATTTATTACCATTTATTTGCACACTATCAACCCTGTTATTACCCCAAACCTGGTGCTCTTTGGCCAAAGTTGACCGTTTTGCCAAGATTAGTCATTGCTGCCAACCTTCTTTATTAGAACAGTGGAGAGACCAAGAAAAAATCTTCCTGGAGCATAGTTTCGGCACAGCTACAATAAAAACAATTGATTTTAATACAACTATTTCAAACCTGACAACATTGGTACTTAAAATGCACTCCAGTTGTCACCAAGAAATAATAGAATATGGTGTAAAGCATATTAAATATTCCCCATTGCTACAAACACTGAGTTTTCAATATGTTGAGTAAGCCAAGGCACAATTTTTTTTTTACATTAAATTAAAGGTTAAGCCATCAAAAGTGCACAAATTGTAGTGGTAAGTGTGAGTGCATCCTCAAAAATTGATTACAGCATGTTTTAAAAGCTAGTTTCAGTTCCTATTCTACCCTATCATCACCACATGATATTGCACACGACACTGTAACCTTTCCATGACCATTCCGCACTGGGGCTCCATTGGTGACGCAGAAGCAGCCAAATTATTTGTTTTGGTACTTCATGTCATCACAACTAGCCATACTGACATGTGAAGTGACCAGAATCGACACTGTAGCCCAACATAACGCTAGTGTTGATGCCATTAACTGAGGTGTGTTAAAACTGACTTTAATGTCCAACCGTCTTAGCATTTCCTGAGCTTCACAGTTGCTAAAAACCATCCCAGGATACAGGAGATTTGCATGGTAGAGTAAAGTCAGCTTGACAACTGGTGCCATTATCGCTTGCACCAATAGCAGCAATAAACAGGGACACTCAATAACATTTTCAAAACACAATTTTCGCTAGATTTTCAGCAACGAATTATTTAGAAGGCAAAAAATAGTCATCACAGTTCCATTTTTATCACTTCATGCCAAAAACAGCACCAATAAACTAGTGTGACAACTTTTACAGCACATGTTAATACTTAGGGTGCTGTGAATCAAAATATGTTCTTAAATGAGTACTAATTGATTGATTGATATGTGGGGTTTAGCACCCCAAAACCACCATATGATTATGAGAGATGCCATAGTGGAGGGCTCCGGAAATTTCGACAACCTGGGGTTCTTTAACGTACACCCAAATCTGGGCACACGGACCTACAGTATTTCCGCCTCCATCGAAAATGCAGCCCCCGTAGCCAGGATTCGATTCTGCGACCTGCGGGTCTGCAGCAGAGTACCTTAGCCATTAGATGACCGGGACGAAGCTCAAATGCGTACTAAATCACTTCTGCGGCTTAGTGAAAAAAAAAACACACACACATTTTATAAACAACAAAAAACAACCCGTACTGTTATGAACAGCAAGCCAAATCTTCAAGAAATGCAAAGCGCGTAAAGTTCACAAGTGGAGCACACAGTTTCTACTTTCTCAAGCACCCTCTCTTAATACAGGGGCCTGTCCTCACTCTATTCAGAGCAGTCACTGGCTGCACTATTTCATCATTACTATGATAGATTATATCACCTACTTTAATCTCCTCTTACATGAACGGTGACATCTGGATTAAATGTATAACATAATTGTTGAGATTTATAATGTCCCAAAACTACAATGATTATGAGGAATGCTGTAGTGAAGAGGGGGGGAGGGGCTTCCAAAAATTTTGACCACCTGGCATTCTTAAACATGTGCCTAAATCTAAATAAACAGGCCTCAAGGATTTTCACCTCCATAAAAAATGTGGCTGCCGCAGTTCGGATTCAATCTCACGACTTAAATCAAATGCACTTCTGCTATTGTTGCAGTATACAATTAGTTGTAATTGCATGAACAGGTTGTACAAATCAAAAACTTAAATTGAAATTTTTATACGTATGATACACTTCTTGGAGAAAACTGTTCTTTGCTGAGCTCAGCGCACAAGTGCACGTTCGAGGAAATTTTTCATGCTGCCTTTTCAGTATCACAGCCTTTGTGCCCTATTTATTTCCCTCAGTTTTTTATTTATAAGTAGCCTCAAACGTTATGAAGCTTGTGCGCAGTGCCAAGTTTCAACATGGTGGATCATATGCAAACTACACTCGTGCTATTTCAAACACCTGATGCCTCAGTCAGTCACTCGTCTTGTACCGAGCTCGCTACTTCAGTACTGGCTACAATATATTCCTCGGTAAAACTGATGCAAGATGACAATGCCAGTGCACACCAATCACAAAGCTCAGCTCGGCCAATTTTACACAGTCAAGTATTCTAGTGCTGCATAGTTATCATCGCTGTCACCACATGTCGATGCCTACCCTCACAGTGTGCGGACCTACCCAGTGGCAACACTAGTGCAATCCAAAATCACATTGGAAGTGAGGGAAAGTGTTTCAAAAAAGAAGAGACTATATTAAATAATTGTTGGGGTCTTACGTCTCAAAACTACTATATGATTGTGAGAGATGCCAGAGCAGAAAGCTCTGGAAATTTTGGCCATGTGGTATTCTTTAACATGCACCTCAATCGAACTACAGAAGCCTCAGGCATTTCACGTCTATTTAAATATGGCCACCACGGCTGGGATTCTATCAGAAGAGAACATAAAGATAGTGACACACATTGACATAGCTGTTTGTCCTCTGTCACTTCACCCTGTGTATCCTCCAGTGCACTCATTGGAATGAAAGAACAGAAAATTACTAATAAAGTGCAAAAAATTCCTGTCACTCCACTTGTACTTGATGGATTTGAAAAATTTGGTCAGCAATTGAATTGTGAGACAAACTCCAATACTGAGACAATGTGAGTGTTACTTGGAAAAATGTATCAGGAAGCCTTTCAAACCTTCAGTGTTCAGTTTCTGGCTTCTTCATCATACAATAAAGTCCATATTGACCAATGAACAGTTTACACCAACCTAGAAGATGTCAAAATCCACATTCTCATGATGAGTGGCTGCAAAAACTTATGCCTATTTGGATTGGTGGAGCTAGCTAGCTATCGTAATACTAATTTCTGGAGTTTTATTTGCCAGAACTGTGATATGAATATTAAGATGCCACAGTAGAGGGCTCCGAAAATTTCTATTAACTAGGATTACTTAATGTACTACTAAAGCCAAGTTCAGGAGCTGGCAATCTTTGCATGAATAAAACATTGTGTGGAACATCTTTGACAGTAAGAATGACATTTCTCTGAATGCAATTTGTGGTATCCTCTAAATTTATTGTTTGCTATTAGTGACAGCTACTGTGAACTTAAGGCCAAAGCATACAAATGGCAAAAGTAAATATTACCATGCAAATACTTTCTCATCTGTATGAAAATGCTCTCACTGAGCCACCAGAGGTTTCGTCACCCAAAGGGACATGCAATAATTTACAACGATTGGTTCTTTTTTTCTGAATTCTTTGAAGTGTCGTTATATATAATAGGCAAAATTCAAGCCACAGTTACACTGAAGCTTTTCTGCTGTGGAGCTTCCTTTTCACTTACAGCCTGTTACCCTACTTTTTAAGCAGACTACGTGGTTTGTGTGCCATCGTGCTCCTTCATGATACTTCCCACTGGCTGGAGTACTAGTCTTTGTAGTGATAAAAATTGTTGCCCATACTTTCTTTTGGGGGTGCCCCTGCCTACCTTAAAGATCTTTTCCCTGATAGCTGCACCAGAGGTGAAAAATGACAATGCTGCCCTTGATTACATACCTGAAATAAAACCATTACCATGAACTGCACCTATGCACTGGCACACAGCACAGTAATGAACCCGTTACTAAGTTATGCTAAATAATTTACACTGAACCGTGAAATGCTGCCCCAAACAGCTAAGTGTCTAGACATGAGCAAACCTGCATATGCTGACACAAGGGCACACTTGCATGCCCATGACCTTAATGAAGCAAAGGACCGGTCTGGTGCTGTAATGTCTATTCCTGCTTGCTACCCAATTCTAGATGAGTGCTCTTCATGTTGTATACACATGCATACATGTTTGGTCAATAGATTACCAGGGGCCCAACTTTTGATATGTGGGGTTTAATGTCCCAAAACCACCATATGATTATGAGAGACGCCATAGTGGAGGGCTCCGCAAATTTTCACTACCTGGGGTTCTTTAATGTGCACCGAAATCTGAGCACACGAGCCTACAACATTTCCGCCTCCATCAAAAATGCAGCCGCCACAGCCGGAATATGAACCCGCGACCTGTGGGTCAGCAGCCAAGTACCTTAGCCACTAGACCACCGTGGCGGGGCAGGGGCCCAACTTCTCTCCACTACCAGCTCATCCAGCAGATTAGCAAGTCACATGTGACAGGTTTAAGTCGTGATAAAACCTATAACTGTATTGTTCTGGATGGAAGCCAAAGGGCTTCCTCATGTTAGTGATTTCACAAAAGCCTTTATGTTATAATTACATAAGTGTGCCAATCACTACAAAATTGTCTTTAGCAAAAAAAAGTTGCATGATGGTGTGAAAACATCTTTCATAAGATTTTAAAAAAGTTTGCAGGCACCTATGGCTTGGCTGAACATCATCTCTCAACTGTGAGAGGTCCTGACAAGACTGTGATGTCACTGACAGAGTTCCCTTGGGCTTTGAGGACTGGGACATTGGAAAACTGCAACAACAAAAAGGTCTGCTTAATTTGATAAACAAGTAACTCTTAAACAAAATAAATGGGCCTTATAGGGCACACCACAAGATCTGAAATGACAAAGCCACAATTCATATCAACTGTAACAAAATACTACAAAAGAAAAGGTACATCACTTTGTAAATAAAAACCATGCCTGTTGTTGCAATTATAAGGGTCAAAAATATTAAGATAGTGGTACGTTACTTTTTACTGCTACCATTTAAATTGCAGTAGCTTGCGCTTACACTCAGCTGGGCTTTGGCATGTTTGAAACCTCCGTTTTTTTTATTATGGTATTCTTGTTTTATTACACTCATGCAATTAACATGTATGTAAAAAGTTGTTTTCTCATACATTGTCCCCCTTGTATGTTTGTTTTGCTGTGTCACTGATTTTAAGAGCAACATGAAGAGTTAAAGGGACACTAAAAAGCAAAAAGTCACCCAAATCTTCCCACAGGGGAAACTTGAGTAAATGTGTCGCAGAGTGGTTGGGGTATCGCGTTAATGTCGCAAAATTGAGTATTGTTTGAGAATGTTTATTTGTTATTTTGTCCTTATTATTCTTATTTATTGTACGAAGGAGAAGCGTTGCCTTCAAAGAATGGTGGGACGCTGATCTTGGGTTGTGCCCTACTTCTGGTTGAAGGTACTGTTGCTTCTTATGCATCTACTCGAGTCAAGCAAAGTGTCAAGTCAAGCGAAAGCCAAGTAAAGACGCCCTTGACTGAATTCTGAATGCGCGCTCCACCGCTTATATACACATGTACACCGCCCGTGTTCGAAGGAGAGGTCGGCACCCCCACTGCACATGCTCGTCTTGCTGAACGCCCAGTGGTATCTTATTTATTAATGGCTTCTAGAGCGATGGTTATGCGAGTGTCTTCCTGGGCTGACATGAGACGCGAGCAGGCGTGTCTCAGCATGAGACGCGAGCATACGGCACGAGACGTGAGACGCGAGCATGCGCAATGGGGGTGTGGACGGCATCACAGACGCCAAAGAGCGACATCGTGCGACTAAGAAATGCTCCGCATTTATAATTTTTCACCATACTAGTAAAGTACCATTTCACAATCTCGAAAACAATGCTCTTACCACGACATGGTGCTTAGTAGGAGAGCAAATGTGCGAAAAGAAGATGCAGGTGGGAACGCCAGCTTGAAATTTCCACACCAAACACCATGATGTACGAAATTTTGAAGGTGTCTACTGGGTCCTACGAAGTTTCCAATCAATAAAAATGAAGTACACTGTCACCTATGGGAGCTACAGAGCCCCTTAGCATGCAAAGTTTCAGAAAATTTCACCGAGTCAATGACACGAAAATACCGTAAATACATTTTGACATTTCTGACATCACGCATAGAGGCTTTGGCACGAAATTTAAAAATGGAACTTCAACCTTGATTTGCTCGGCTAATAATGATCTTATGATAGTGAAACATATGACATATGATAGTGAAACGTATGACAGAGTTCTCAGAGTGAAGCTTGTCAATCTAAACCTAGTGCCCCTTTAGAAACAGGAGAAGTATATTGCAGAGCACTTCTTATTCTCAACAACCATTTTAACGTGAAGTTACTTTCCTTAACACCAAACGTATCTGGTGTCTTGGCATCAGACACATCTTGGTATGACCAATACTGTTCCTGGCACTGCAGAGTACCTGATGTGTAAACAGATTGTCCTGCTCCTATGCAAATAACTTAACAGTGTTTTTAGCATCAACAGCTAGACAGTTCATGCTTGGCAGCATGGTGGTGCTGTTGAATAACTTTATGTAATCAATATATCAAGAAGCCCAGAACATTTCAGTCTACTAAAATATTGCAAATAAATCACCAGAGCAAATAAATCACCACAGCAAATAAATCACCAGAGCCAAGTTTTTTAGGCTTCTATTTAGACATTTCTAACCTATTGTTTAACTGGTGCAGCAAAGAACCTATAGCTGGGCGATTTCTTGTACGCAGTCTGTCTTTACATTAAGAAGGAAAGTAATAGTTTTTACAATTAGGATAGACTGTCACCCACTTTATAGAAATAGTAGAAGTTAATAAAAATTGTCAAAAATTATACTGGTATAAGCAGCACAAGAGGAAAAATACACACACGTACACACAGGACGGGCCAGAGAAACAAGTCTACATTGTTTAAAATAATTTTTAAATATTTCTGACAGCTTAAAAGCTGGTGACAGCTCGCTTTTCAATGTTCTGTATTATCTCCAGAGAACCTCTTCCGTGTTTTCATGATCATTCAACGAATTTTACTTTGTCATGGTTACACAACACGTTATACAGAGCATAGTAACGAAATAGTATATTTCATGAAACTGTTGCAAGTGACGCCTCATAATTTATTATAAGGAGTCAAGCGCACTGAAATGGCACAAGTGTACGTATGGGCCTTGTAGGCGCACCTTTCCTAGCACTTAGCGCAGAAAACTTACATTGTTCTGCGCTAAGCCCTAAAATAGGTGAAAACTTTGGGGGGAATGATAACAGGCATATCCAGTGAAACAGGCACGATAACGTAGCGCTGGAAAATGAACGAGACTACAGACCTCTGCTCATCAAGTTGCTGAGAACTTGCTTGGTCCTCCTGAATGCAGAAACGATGCACAGAGCTTAAACACAATACAGTAAAGCTACTGCGCGGCAAAAATTATAATCGCCAGAAATCTTGCACACACGACATACCTGTTCAATGTGATGTGACAGCGTGTCAGAAGATCTCCGTTTCGCAGTTTTTTTCACAGAACGCTGCTGGAACTGCTTCAGCTGTAAGGCACACGTGTCGTCAGGACCAATTTTTTGTTGTCTACAAGGAATAAGTTACGTAAACCAGAAAAAATGCTTGACACGTATAAAGCAACTGTTTTTATGTGGCATTTAAGCCTCGACACAGAGAAATCGAAGCTTAATCAACTGGAATGTAAATGAGCAGTCTTGTCTGGACACTCGCAAGTGAACGAAAAATAAGAGACTGCCGCAAATCTAACCAACGAGCAAGATAACTCCCAAACCAGATGTCGGGAAACGTAATGACAGTAGTTTACAGAGGCGACATTTCAGCACGCTTACAACGGTTAGTTGCAAAATAACTTTAAACAACTCAAATCATGTGCTATATAAGCGCTAACTAGGCATTTCCAGGCACAAACTGGGTCTCTCACCTTCTTTAAACCGGCTGCAACTTTAAGTTTCCTCTCAGTATCGTCTGCCATGTTGGCAGACCCAGCCGACATGCGCATAGTGCATACACGCCTTTCACATTCGCCGCTAAATAGAGAGAAAACGTGTAAATTTTTTTGAAGATTGCAATGAGTGTTATTAAAGCGTTCTCATACATCGCATTTAGACGATTTTATTAAATATCAGTGACTGCATATAACCACAGAACACCTATATACTGATTAAGCGCTAATGCATTGCGCCTACGTTAAGTTAGCCCACAGGTCAAACAGTGCGTCAACTAATAAAATATACATCTTCGTAAACCACATACATCTCGACTTGCAATCAATAAACTGTACAATTTATTTTGTGCGCTGCAAAACATCGCGAGAATGCTGTTGCGCATGTTTACATGACCTCAGTGACATGATCTCCATGCTTCAAAGGTGCGCGTGTTCATCTCGGAAACCACGTCAACTTTTGATGATATTGAAAAAGATGCGGCCTCTTGATTTGTCTGCATCATTGAGTTCCATAAAATGAAAAAAACAACAGGAAGAAGAATACGGCAGCTTGCGATGAAAAAAATTGTAAACGTAAGCTCAACACAATCTCTGTTTATGTATTTTTATACAATATTAATATTTTACATGTATAGTGCAGCCATGACCTCCCTGGTGCAGCCAAGTGCAGCTTAGTAGAGGATAGAGTTTATATGACTATGAAATCGAGGGTCCGCATCATAGAGTTATTATTGTATGAAACTCTATAGGCCGCATCTTTTTTGTCATCAGAAGTTAACGTGGTCTCCGAGATTAACACGCGCACCCTTGAAGCATGGAGGTCATGTAAGCATGCGCAACAACATTGTCACAATGTTTTACATTGCACAGAATAAAACAATTACTGTCCCGTCGTGGGAGCGGCCGCCGAGTGCTAGGGCGCACGTCTTCGGACTTCAAAAGTTTTGCCAAACCAACCAAAGCCAGAGCCAGCAGCCGGTCCCTGGCAACATTGTGTGTTCACCGAAAAACTAGTGTCTAGAAATATACTGCCTAGCACCTTTCCTTCCTCCATGCTGCCTTGCCCCGCCGCGGTGGTCTAGTGGCTAAGGTACTCGGCTGCTGACCCGCAGGTCGCGGGTTCGATTCCCGGCTGCGGCGGCTGCATTTCCGATGGAGGCGGAAATGTTGTAGGCCCGTGTGCTCAGATTTGGGCGCATGTTAAAGAACCCCAGGTGGTCGAAATTTCCGGAGCCCTCCACTACGGCGTCTCTCATAATCATATGGTGGTTTTGGGACGTTAAACCCCACAAATCAATCAATCCATGCTGCCTAGTGTGCTGAGCGGGCGCATTCTGAACGAGAGACGGTGGCCCCGCATGTGATGAGTCTGATGACTGCACTCAGACGCCACAAGCAACGCTACGTGTCGAGAGGGTGCACGAACGCGCGAAATTCATCTCGTCCTGTCGCTGCCGGAGCCTCGCCGCGTTTAAAATCAGGGTGTTACAGCTACCATTTGATTCGCTGTGAAGTTCGACAGCGTCACTGCAACATTGCAACACCCTGAGATGTTGAAAGCTAAGCGGCAATGCAGAAAAAGGACGTGTATTGTGCCGGTGTCTCAAAGAAGTTATCGGTCGAACAAGGAAAAAATGTCTTGTTCCCCGCACTTACGTATCCAGTGTGGTTTCCTGAATGAAAAAGTAAGATCAAGAGGGCAGACAGAAGGCTGAATCCAAAGGCTGTGGTGTGAGAAAAGCATTCTGAGAGTGACTCCATCGCACTATCTTTTCGGATCAGGGTGAACGGTGTCGGGAACGAAATCGCCGTTTAGGCATAATTTCAAATATCAATATTTATCTGAATAATTTGAAAATATTCTTTCAAATTTCATTCAAACAGGTTTTCTCCCGCCATTTCAACGTCGGACTCCCTTTCTAACAGCGTTTTGGGTATCATATGCGGCGAGTGTCAGATTGTTCATTGGCATGTTATTATTCTTTGTTTTCACTAGAATTATAATAGAATTCAGGCTAAGAGGTAAAGTTTTTTGGGTCTTCTGTGATAACTTTTGCTCTCAATAACAAAGCACATTAAAAAAATAACTCTAGTGGTAATACCGTCAATGGTTTTTAAAAAAATTTCTTTGCGTACTGCAACCACTTTGAGCATCTATCTATCTATCTATCTATCTATCTATCTATCTATCTATCTATCTATCTATCTATCTATCTATCTATCTATCTATCTATCTATCTATCTATCTATCTATCTATCTATCTATCTATCTATCTGTCTGTCTGTCTGTCTGCCTATCAGTCTATCTATCTATCTATCGGTCTATCTGTCTCTCCATCCGTCCGTCCGTCTGTCTGTCCGTCTGTATGTCCGTCCGTCTGTCCATCCGCCCGTCCGTCTGTCTGTCTATCTAACAAATCGCCTACGTCTAGGTGCCCTCACGATCACCCCCTTAACTTAGGGTAAACCAAAATTAGTGTGGGTGGGTAAGATGGTTTGATGAATATGACTCGCTGGTTCTGACATAAATAATTTCACAATCCCGTCACGTGAATACGCCATGAAAACCTTCTCGCTCCATCTTATTTTTTAACGCGAGATCTTTAAGCTGACATTGGCAACGTTGGCCCTACGAATGCAAATAATAAACGTTTGTGTCCTAGCAGAGGATTCGAAGCCAAGCAATCTGCGTGGAAACCAAGTATTTTACTATAGAGCCACGCCAGGTCTTCGAAATACTTTTCAAGAGCCAAATTTTTGTGAAACGCCAATGCTGGTTCCAGTGTTGACTGTCCCATTTCTCGCATATATTTAGTGCCGCTTCCTAATGTTTCACTTAATAAAAAATTACAACAGGGTCACCTTGCATAGCATTGATTCCCAAGTTACGTGGGATCTGCGTCTTTTTTTTTTTTTTTTGTGGGCAGTAGCGGATGGCGAAATGTATGCCACGAAATGATCTTCATTTCGTATTGCAAAGCGTCAGTACTGTGAAAGCAATCGAGTAGTTCTTATGCAATAAAGCATTATGTAAAAAACACTCCAAAAATGCAGTAAAAATGGCAGCATATCCACGGAGTGAATGATGGAGAGTGGGGCGAAGCATTCGTCCGTCCATGCGTCCGTCTGTGTGACCGTCCATGCGTCTGTTTGTGCGCCCGTCCCTGCGTTCTTTCACGCATCCGCCCCTGCGTCCGTTCATGCGTCCATCCATGCATCTGTTTGTGTGTCCGTTCGTTCATCTATTCAACACTCCAAGTCCCACCATCTCGCATCTTTTTATCATATATTCCCCATATAGAAGCACCGCCATCCAGCGGACATTCCAAGGACTAAACGAGAGGTGGCACACGCACACTTTCTTACGGCCTGCGCTTTGGGTCCACTTCCCACCTTTAACCACCTCGAGTTCATGGTATATTCTAGTTCACTGTATTCATGGCACTGCGACCAAACGCTCGCTAAACCATTCGAAAACCAAGGAGGTTACGCCCAGCGAGTATAACGTAGCAACCTTTCCCTGTCAGATAGGGCTCAATTTACATGCCAATGGCTGCTAATGAGAAATGAGAGACAGGAGAATTCGGCTTTTACTTTCTTACGGCTTGCGCTTCGTATCTACTTCTCATTTTTAACCACCTTGAGTTCATTCATGGTATATACAAGTTCATTGTATTCATGGCACTGCGGCTCAACGCTCGCTAAACCTTTCTAAAGCTAAGGAGGTTACACCCAGCGAGTATAATGTAGCATCCCTTTCTTGTCCGATAGTGCTCAATGTACATGCCAATGGCTGCTAATGGGGATCGCAGCGTGCGCGTTGACTAAAAGCGAATGCTCATGTCTCTCATTCCCCATTAGCAGCCATTGGCATGTACATTGAGCACTATTTTTTATTGTTAAACAACGCACAGAAGAAATCTCTCACTGGCACCACCTTGGAGGTCAAGTGTTATACCTATTTCGGGTATGTGCCACTGGTGGTTACATACGAGGGACGCCCAAGCCACGCCAAAAGGAGCTTCGCCCCTTATAATAGTTGGCCTCGCGTGGCTCAGCCTCCTGGAAGCTTCGCAGCGCTTGCGGAGCGCAAAGATTGAACGCAAATGCACCCACTCGCACAGCAGCGCACCATGTGGGCGCCACCGGCAGTCATCAGCTGTGGGGCCAATTCCTAGCCCGCGCTCAGCACACTAGGCAGTACATTTCTAGACACTGTAGAAAAACTACCCTTGGAAACTTCTAATATGGTTAGAGTGTACTGGAAGTGTTGAGTGGCGTGACCACGCCTCGCCGCCTGATCCCTTCCGCGTCGCCTACAGCGGCGGCGCTGCAGTCGAAAAGTGGAAGGTATTCAGCCACTTCTACATGAGGAATGTCGATACAAAATGGAGGAAGTGAACCAGAAAATTGACTGGTAAATACTTAGAAAACAGCAGGGGGCCAAACCAAAAAGAACTAGTGGTTAAGAAGAAGGTCAAGGAAGCTGAGACCGATATGTGGAGAATTAGCATGATTAAGAAGTCCGCACTAGACGATAGTTATAGCGCGAGAACAAAACGATGATACAGAGACAAGAAGGACACGAAGGACACGGCCTTCTTGTCTCTGTGTCGTCGTTTCGTTCTCGCGCTACTACTATCGTCATGCCATAGCAACTAGCCTAAGCTGCCACACTTCCGCACTAGAGATCTATCGAACTTTTAAGCAGGGAATTCCCAAGGAAATGATCTATGATAACACTCGGTGTAGTTCTCTACTGTTTGAGGCCAGAACGGGTGTATTGCGAACCAAAACATATCGTGCCAAATACGAACGGGTAGACACGGTATGCAGTGCGTGTGGAGATGAAGAGGAAACTGCTGAAGACTTAATTTTCTATAAAGGGCTTCACCCTGTAGTTCAGGATGATGGCGCCGAGTTTTTCAAAGCACTGGGGTTTAGGGACAGGGAGGGCAAAATAGACTTCAAGCGGGTAGAATTAAACAGAAGGATGTTATCTGATTGGTGGCAAAAGTCAAGGCACGAGTGAAAATTAAACCCTTCACTGCAAAGT